ACCAAAACCTTGCCACACAAACTCAATACATCGCATAAGGGTAGAACATGCATCTTCTTGCTTTGGATACATTGGATCCTGCAGAGAGTCTCAGATAAATAGCAAGCAGAGAAAAGTCCCCATTTGTTGTTCACCTGCCATTCAAAGCTCTCCAGTTGTCTTTCAAACAATAAAAATATCTTCTTTTTCTTTGTATAAAAAACATTCATGTTGCATGGCCATTACCCAGCAGCAATTTGTATAGTACTGGTAGGCACCAGTAATTTGTAGCAAAGTAAAATATGCAAACCTTGTGTCACTGTTAGTCATCTGCATCTTTCATGGAAAGTTGGGGGGTTTTTTTCCCCAATTCAGAGACAAAAATGGCCTTGCATTCCTAGGCAGAAAAATTCTGGTGCTATGTGTGAAAAATAAAATGCTTCATAATAATAATAGTAACCACTACTGCAGTGAGCTGTCTCGCTATGGAAATGACAAAGGATTCAGGGGGAACAGACAAGTTGGCAATCTCTTCTGAAAAGAAAATCCATTAACAGTTAAAGAAAAGCCTTGTTAGAATTTTGTTTTCATTGTTCTAACTGATGATCACCCAGCTTCACTGTGGCCAGAAATATCCATAAACAGATACCTGAAGCTCTGCTCTGAGCTTATAAAGCCCCACAAGACTATTTACTTGTTAAGAAGTTTTCACAATAAAAGAAGCCTAAATTACAACTTTTCTGTTGAGCTATGACAACTCAAAATAATTCCTAGCTCTTAAATAAGACTTTTAATTAGATTTTGGTGTACTTAACAGAGGAAATATCATTTTGTACTTAATTTTCAGTGAACATTCTCTTGCCATTGCTGCCTGCAGAATGCTGTTATGGCACCTAATATGGATTAGCATTTTGTTTCTTAATGGGCTGTATATTAATAATTTTATCCTTGCAGGAGCATTAAGAAGGGAACGATCCTTATAAATGTTTTTGAGATTATTCTCCAGCAAAAGGAGGGCGACTGCAGTGAAAGCTGCTGTGATTCCTTCCTGCCTCATTCACTCTTGGCTTCCTTAGCATTGTTATGCAAGCTCAGCATTTTCCTGCCTTGGAATTGCTGATTCTTTTAATTCTGATATTGGATCACTGTCTTTCACATGAGAAGCAAATAGGATACTTTTCCACTTTTTCTCAGTCATTCTTCCTCAGAAATTTTAGAATTCAGAGCAGCAAACCTTGTTTGGAAATGCAAGTAATTTGATAAACACGCTAAAATTTATTTCGTTTTTTTTTCTTAGAAATAATTTCTGAGATGTTATAATGTACCAAAAGTACCATTAGTAATATGGTTTGTAGACTGAGCCATATTGGAATGTAAATAGGATAAGTGAGCTATTGCAAGGGTTTATTCAGTGAAGTCTAAGATAATTTTAAGGGTTTGCTTAATTGAGCAGCTCGGCATTAGTACAAAACCCAAGACATTTTTAAAAAGTAGGTTGTTTAAAAGTGATTGCGTCTTGTTTTCTGAACCTGACGACTGCAGGTCATGGGATGTAAACTGAGGAAAAAGATGCTAGATGAATTGTGATTGTATATAAAATGTATTAGTTAAGTCTGTTCAATGCATGCACAAACTGGCAGCTGTTTGTTTAATGGTTCCTCATGCACAGACCACAGACATCGTGTGCTGGCAGAACAGAAATCGTAGAGGTGGTAAAATCAGCGCTGGCGTTCAGGCGTGCGGGATGCAGAGTGACATGGGATGGGCAGGGGCCACGTGCAGGTGGTGAACAGCACTGCAGGACAAAGAGGTTTTTCTCAAACAGCTCCAGAGAGCTTCTAACCGTAGGTCTGGAGGTGACAGTCCCCTTGTGCACGTGGGAACATGGGCAGTGACACTCGTTGAGCCTCAGAGGACGAGTGCCTTTCCAGAAGAGCAGAAGCTGTTGCGGAGCGTTGTACCTTGTTGGCAGGGCTGGTTCTGCTTGCATCGGTACTCTGATTTTGTCTTTGCACGCCTAATTTCAGCATCTGCATGGAGCCCTTTCTGGGTTTTGTTTGGTTTTTTATCTTCTGGAGATCTGTCCTATGACGAGGGATTTTGTGTCTAAAGGTTGTGCTTGAGAATGCAGCTGGTGGAGCAAAGGGTTCACTTACGACAATCCATATGGTACCTAATGTGCAGATGGGTTTTTTTACATCCAGAGCAATAGGAGAGAAGGACAAACATGGAATATTTGTCCCTGTCACACAAACTTCTCATTTTGCTTGTTATTTGTATTCAGAATCTGGGTTTTTCTTGATGACTGGTAGTTGTTAAATATGCCCAGTGAATTTTCAGCTACATTCAAAATTCAAGTTCTATTTAAACTGTCCAGCAGTTACAGTAGCAGTCTCTCATACAGTAACTGCTCTTCTTTCTGGCAAACAAAACTCAGGTCTGTTTTGTGAGGTTCATACAGTTTGCCCAATTAGACCCATCTGGCAGGAGATGTTTTCTAAGAATCAATTTTGCACCACAGTTGTTTTCTGGGTTAAACCTCTTTGTGCCGTGCTGTTCTGCGTCGGCCAATCTTTAACTGTAGCGTTTTTAATTTCCCATCATTATGTAGAAATGATAAATGGCAAAATTACAAATTTAAGGTTGTATTCACAATTTCAGGCAGTTATTCCAGTTTACATTGCTGGCACCTACATCAAAGGCTGCAGCTCCTCTGGGCGATGTTGTTGCCACAATTTTTGTTCACTTGTGGCTGCTGATATAATGCTTCTGGGGTATGTGTATGCATTTTGCCAATTTTCATCAAATTTATTGGTGGAGGCATGGAAGCCTATAACAACTGCATCACTAAAATTGATGATGTGCTGGATTAGACCAAAGCTTTAACTCCAGATCCTTTCCTTGGCAATATTTGCCTGCTCAGCAGCAGTGCCTGGAACGGTTCTGTGTTTGCCCCGTTTCTTACCTTTCTCCTCTCTTGGTTTCTGTTCTCCCCAGTTCTGACCAGTGAAAGTTCAGGGACTTTCAAGTCACCCACTGCTTCTTGAACGTTGGTTAGGGAGTTAATAGGGCATTAGGACAGGCCTGGTCTCTCTCCATGTCAGCTGTACAGATGGCAGAAACTTACTCTCAAGTAAAATTAAATAAGATAGATCTCGCTGTCTTTATATAATTCAAATTCTTATTTTGCTGAAAATTTCTTTTGTCCCGGGCATTTCTGCATGATTCTACATCTCTTTGTTGGCAGGGGGCTCGTTTTGATGTCTTTAATTTTAGCTCAGAGCTTTTATTACATGGATCTCCCTATGGCTTTCATATATTCAGTTGTAACGGTTTTAAACTGGCAGAGGGGAGATGGAGATGAGATGTGAGGAAGAAATTCTTTGGTGTGAGGGTGGTGAGACAGTGTCCCAGGTTGGCCAGAGAAGCTGTGGCTGCTCCTCCCTGGAAGTGTTCTCGGCCAGGCTGGATGAGGCTTTGAGAAGCCTGGTCTAGTGGAAGGTGTCCCTGCTGATGGCAGGGGGGTTGGAACTGGATGAGCTTTAAGTTCCCTTCCAGCCCAGACCAGTCTGTGATTCTGTGGTCACTTACAGAGCCTCAGCATCCCACAAAGGTCTGTGCTCTGACGGGTGACTTATATCTGATGTCTCAGTGCATTTTTGCTGTGACATTAACAGAGGTCTCTGATACCCTGAGCTAGTCACTTCTCGGTACGATACTGGAAGAAATGGTGCCACTATTAAAATAAATTTCTATGTATCTACCCTAGATACTTGCTTATCTATACAGATGTCACAGCAATATTAGAGGGAAGCCTCTTTAGTTTAAATATATATCTCAGTATCATTTGGAATGTCCATTGGCATTCTCTTAGAAAACTCAGATTCAGGGTAGAAACAAATGAAAGAAATGTTTAAGATCAATAGAGCACCAGGCAGTTTGTTTCCTTTTCAGTAGTATTTAAAGCACAGGAGTGACTGTCAGCAGACCCAGACTCTGTCTTAAAGTTTGCCATGTTATACCAGAGGCAGTGGTGCATTGTAGTGAGTGACTTGCAGGTCTGTGAAAAGTGGTAGGAATTAATTACCTGAGTACTTGGTTATGGAAGCAGAAGCCAAAGACTGATGTGAGGGATGGATCTTAATTGCAATTATTTTTCTTTCAGTTCTTCAGAACCACGTCCAGCTGGCCTGGAGGAGAGTGATCAGTCATCGATGTCTGGAGAACAAGGAATGAATTTGGATAATTCAGGCCCTAAACTTACAGATTTTGCGAGTAGGCCACCAGGTAGTAGGATTTTTCTGTGCATTATCTGAATGTAGTAACTACAAGAGAGCTTTTACTGATCTTTGTGACAGTTCTATTTGATTTGTGTTATCAGGCATTCAAGTCCAAAGCTTTTTTTTCCTCCTAGTAACTAATTGGTACCATTGTTTAAGTCTCTTCTTTGAATTAGCTCAAAATGAAGAGGTGGCCACGTGCTAGTCTGTCATCCTGCAGGTATCAGGACTGTAGAGTTATTCAGCAATAACATAATTGATAAAAAAACCCCTGTATTTCTGGCTGTAGAACAGACTGATGCCTTAAAAATTTAGTATTAACCAGTAGCTGATGTTTCAGAATTAAGAAACAGAGGTTGCAGTTGGAATTCTCCTTTGCACATGGATTAAATCCAAAGTCCGCAAAGGAATTTATATTGTAAACCACACGGGTGGTTCTTAGCACCATGTTTGGCCGAGTAATATATGGCAGATTCTACTTTGTACACTAGAAAGTGTCAGGTCTGTAGCAGGTATGCTAATCCAGGTCCCACAGGGCCTGTCAAACTCTTAAGTTTGTTTTAAGGAGTATTAATTAGTCCAACTCTGCCTTTGTAAGTGAAAGCCAGCCTGTGGACAGTTGCAGAGATTTTTCAGGTGGCGTGAGTCTCGAATAATAGCTAATATGATAGACTGAGAGATCTCCAATTAAATGTCATGCATGCATTAAGTAAAAATATTTTTAAGAATGAAGTAAAATCTTTGTCCTTATTTGCAAAGCCTTGCGTAAGCTGAACAGGCTCCTGGCTATACTTTCTTTCTGATTCTTTTCGTTACAGAAATTCTACTTTCTCTGATCTTTGCTTGGTTTTAATAAATGTATCACCTTGTCATCTCAGGTTATCCATCTCAGCCAGTGGAACAAAGACCACTTCAGCAGATGCCACCTCAACTCATGCCACATACGCAGCAGTCACAGCCGCAGCCGCCACCGCAGCAAGCCCAGGCACCACCACAAACACCGCAGCAGCAGCAGCAGCAGATGATGATGATGCTTATGATGCAGCAGGATCCCAAATCAGTCAGGCTTCCTGTGCCACAAGGAGTTCACCCACCTAGAGGGCCGCTGAATCCAGATGCTCAACGAATGCCGATGCAGCAGACTGGTAACATGCCAGTAATGGTTAACCTCCAAGGTCCTGGATCAGTGCCTCCATCTCCTGATAAACAAAGAATTTCCTTGCCTGGCAATCCTCCTCTGGGAAATAACACAAGAAAAATGGTTTATCAAGATAATGTACAGAATCCTTCCAGCTCACCCCTTGGAGAGGTTTCATCAGTATCCTCCCTTCCAGAAGGAGGTGGAGCTGAAGGCCCCCCAGCATCAGGAGCTCAGAATAATTTGACATCTCATTTAGTAGTTTCACAGAACCAATTGATGATGACAGGACCCAAACCTGGACCATCTCCACTTTCAACTGCCCAAGGTGCAAGTCCCCAGCAGCAGTCTAATTCTCTGCCTAGTGCTCTTACACACCATTTTCAAAATGTTGCCACCCCATCACAAACTTCAAGGCCTAAAACCCCAAACAGAGCAAGCCCAAGGCCATACTATCCTCAGACTCCTAATAACCGTCCGCCTAGTACAGAACCATCGGAAATTAGCTTGTCTCCAGAGAGACTCAATGCTTCTATAGCTGGTCTGTTCCCTCCCCAAATTAATATTCCTTTACCTCCCAGGCCTAATCTCAACAGAGGATTTGATCAGCAGGGTCTTAATCCCACTACTTTGAAGGCCATTGGACAAGCCCCATCTAATCTCACAATCAACAATCAGTCTAGTTTTGCTGCTCCACAGTCACACAAATTGGAAGGCGTGGTCATTAATTCAGGAAAACAGACCAACACTGGAGGAACAAAGAGAGCCAGTCCAAGCAACAGTCGAAGGTCCAGTCCTGGATCCAGTAGGAAAACTACACCAAGCCCTGGCAGACAGAATTCAAAAGCAGCTAAATTATCATTGACAACTCAGCAGAATCCACCTCTCTTGCAGAACATGGAATTACAAAGAAATATGATGGCTGGTCCCTCTTCTTTGCCAACACCTGTGACTACAAGTTTTCAAAATAATAACATGCTAAATAATCAGAATCCTGCAATTTCTGTACCTGCTGTGACTGGCTTTCCTGAAGACAATAAAGAGAGCCTTAGTGTGCCTCAGGAGAACGAGTGTCAAAGTGCACAAGGTGTCCAAGGTAACAAAGACCAGCCAAGTATTGAACTAAAAGGTATCCCTACTCCAGAAATTAAAATGCTGGTTCCAGAAGAACAGTCAAAAAAAGATGGGCAGGCCTTAGACTCCAGTAAGCTTCCAGTTTTGGAGGAAAGTAAAACCGTGGTATCTCCAGCTATGAGGGAGGCACCAACTTCTTTAAGTCAACTTCTTGATAATTCTGGAGCTCCTAACGTAACCATTAAGCCCCCGGGGCTGACAGGTCTTGAAATGGCACCAATAGTCACTGCTGGTGAGGAGCTCAAGAAGATAGCTGTCATTCCTCCACTGCAGGATTCATCCTCAAGCAAAGAGCCATCTAATTCACTTAGCTTGCCTCAAAATAATGAGCCCTGTTCAAATCCAGGGCACCAGGAACTGGGAGAAGTAAACTCAAATGTTGCACAGAGTGTTCCTCCAGTAATGCAAAGGCCTGTCAGCTCTTCTTCTATTTCAGGTCCTTTACCCCCCAACCAGATAACAGTTTTTGTAACTTCAAACCCTATTACATCCTCTGCTAGTGCATCAGCACCGTTGCCATCTCACTTGCAACCTGCGTTAGTGTCGACTGTTGTCACGATGCCCAATGTAGGGAACAAAGTTATGGTTTCTGAGGGACAGCCAGCAGCTCAGTCTAACGCCCGGCCGCAGTTTATTACACCTGTTTTTATAAACTCATCGTCAATAATTCAGGTTATGAAGGGCTCCCAATCCAGTACGATTCCAGCAGCCCCGATGACTTCTAACTCGAGTCTGATGCCCCAGTCGGTCGCAGTTGTTGGGCCTTTGCACATACCACAGAATATAAAGTTCTCCTCTGGGCCCGCACCTCCCAGCACATCATCCAGCACTCCTGTTTCTAGTATTCCCACCAGCAGGTCACTGGTTCTTAATCCCTTGGCACCTCCAGTGCAGTTGTCTTCTCCTGCTACGACTTCTTCCAGTGTTCCTTCACATCTTCCTGCTCAGCCAGTCAAAGACTTCAGCCCAGAGGAGGCAGCTTCTCAAAGTGGTGGGTCGGGTGACCAGTGCTCTGTTACAGCAGCACAGTCTGGACCTGTTGTGTCACCACTTCTTACAAGTAGTCCAGGATCTGGGAACAGACGCAGTCCTGTGTCATCGAGTAAGGGAAAGGGAAAAGTAGACAAGATTGGCCAACTCTTGCTGACCAAAGCATGCAAGAAAGTCACTGGTTCCCTTGAGAAAGGGGAAGAGCAGTACGGTTTGGATGGAGAAGCAGAAGGTCAGGGACTAGAAACGTCGGTCCCAAATAGTTTGGGAACAGAGCAATCACCAGCAGAACTGGATAGTAAAACTGTGACACCTCCAGCACCCAGTCACGTAAAACAGAGCACTTCTGGGCCTGGCAACGCGAGTGTCAGCGCTGCGGCTGCTCCGTGTCTCCAAGCGGACCCGCAAGCACTCCTCCCACCAGTGTCCTGGCGGCTGTAGCCTCCCCCGCAGCCCCAGACCCCGTGCCTGCAGCACCCAGCGCGAACGGGGGTAACCACGGCGCTTTGCCAGCTGAGCAAGCTGCGGCTGGTGTGGCGGAGGAGAAAGGAGCTCATCAGGAGCTGCTTCAGAGTGCAGGTGAGTCCAGCGCTACCCTGGGGCAATGGAAGAAATGAGGTGGCTTTGGTAAACTTCCTAGGTGCTTTTTTCCATGGAAGTAACAAAATTTAGACACTGTAGCCAAGGCTCACAACTGCTTTTTGGTTTCTAATATCTGAGTGATACACAGGCTTGTCTTTCGCTAAGATTCACATTTCAGATGTTTTATTTCAGTTTCCATTTACTGCTTAAATGGAGTATTTGTCGTGAACATGTGACGCAATAACAGAGGAGTGACTTCACGTAACTGTTAGAAGTGGGGAGAAAAAGTGGATGACAAAAGAGTTAATTAAAGTGCCTTTTATACTGGTAGATATAATGGTATTCTGCTCCAGTCTTTGCAGAGACTTTTTATTTGTGTAACTTACTTCAATTTATTGACTAAATTATGATATTTTGAGTTATTCCTAATAATAACCTCAACCTTGTAGTGAAATAGCTGAATAACCTCCAGAGTAAGGGGGAGGGGGCAGAGGTGACAGGATGACAAAACCCAACCAAAACAACAAAAAACCCCTCTTATGTCTAGGGAAAAATTAAAACACTCATTTCAGAGAAATACCTGAGAAAGTTATTTTAAGTGCATTGCACCCAAGTCCAAACCATAAAATACCTTCACATCTGAGCTGTTTACTCCTTTACTATTTTAGTTTGAGCATCTGACAGACTTTATTTATTATATTGCTGCTATTCTTTGATGCCATTTTCAACCTCCTGAAAATGGTGTGGAAATAAATTGTCACCCTTGAAGTAAGCTGCCTGAATATCTCTTGTGCTTTACATCATGAATTTAGACACAGAAGATAAAATCATGGAAGATAAAATCCACAGATGTCAGTGGAACTGAGAACTTCAGCTTGAACATGACTTTCCCTGGTGGCTATTAGATGCATGTCGTAGCTGTATGCCACTGGAAAATGGAAATGTTTCCTTTGAGCTTCACAGAAAGAATTCTGGTTTGTTAGGAGAAAAATGGCAGTGGATATTTTTCATTTAAACAGGAGTGTTTAACTGTTTGTCTTCCTGTTCTTCTTTAGTTTATTATCACATATGAGAGAAGATTAGAAAACATTAGCCTGAGAAGGATTCTTTTTCCATCTTATTTTTTAACTTGGCAACCCAAGAAATGTTAAGTCACATCATCTTACTGCCAAGGGACTTCAAGGGAGCCTCTGGAGCATATTTTGCACTCTTGCAGTTTAATTGAAAGAGTGAGGGCATTGATTCATTAACAAAGATGCTCTTTTTCCCCAGAACTTCTGCTGAAATGAGCATTAAACAGAAAGAGACTAAACTCTTTACTTTCTAGGACTTTCTTTAATTTCTCAGTCTGGTGAAAAACTGTTACCTTTAAAAATGTGTTTTATGATAATTTCATCACTTATTCTAGTTCAAGAAAACTTGCTTAGGATAGTTTTGACAAAGTTTTTTTTTAAAACTGGGGGGGGGTGTGTGTGGTGGGGAAAAGTAGAGGGTGAGTTAAAAAAATTGCATCTGTAAATGAAAAAATGCACTAAGCTGGAAGACACAGCATTTTGTAAAAGCAGCCCGATTGCACAACAGCAAATTCTTGTGACTCCCTTTGAAAATAATGCTTTTTCCCTTCACTTTTATTCTAGCATCCTCTCAACATTTAACACAGAAAAAAAGTTCAGTTGCAACATCAGAAAGTACTGTTCAAAGAACAGGTAAATCTTACTTTGGAAAAGCAGAATATAGGTGAACTAAACTCTTTATGTTTGTAATGGAAAATGCATTTGTTTTAATGCATATTTAATGATCACTAATGTGCTTGGTAGTTTGGGGGTTGATGGGGTTTTTTTATTACCTGTGCTTTCGGGATTGCTTTTCTTTGTTAGGTACATTGTGCTTTAGAATTCTCCAAAGCCTTGTTGGAGATTCAATATGGGATCAAGTGAAGCAAATGAAAAAATCACCAGGGCAGTTCTGAGATACTCCTCAGTCCTAAGCTGGAGGGACTGGATTTGTCGTGACACGTTGTGTTGGAGTTTTGAAGTTTTGTTAGCAAATTTGTTTTGCTAACAAAATTTGCTAACAAAAATTTGTTAGCAAATAGGAGTTTTTCTTTTCTATAGGACACTCCTGAAAATATTTTCAAAAGCCATGCTGGGAACCTAAGTTTTAGAGCTGTAAGCCTATTTTTTTTCTGTTCATCTTTTGATGACTCCTCAGCAGTGTTTCAAGGATGGAGCCCTGGCAGATGACTTTTTGTTGTTGCTGGCTGTTATCATGGTGTTTCACCATCAATTCTGTGGTGTTTTAAAAAAGTAATTTCCCAGATGAGTAGGGAAAATGGACTCGCACATGAGAAGTGCCACTCTCCACCAATTTGCCATCTCTAATATGGTTAGAAATAGAGCTTTCAGAGAGTAAAAATTGTACTAAATTGCTTTCTTTAAAATTCCACTTAAAGATGTTCAAGCACCCTGTCAAGTTACAGGCAGCTCATTGCCCCAGTGCTGATGTGGCTGTGTTGGGCAGTACCTGCTGGGGAGGGAGGCACTGAAGTTACAGGTTTTTTTATTATCGGATAGTCTCCTTGTTCAAATTTTGGGTAGGAAGAAAAGTAACTCTTTCCTCATGTTGCTTCGTCTGTTTTTTCTTTTGTTACCAAGACATCTGTTTTTCCCAGATGGTGCTATGTACACTTACACTGAAGAGTCTGATGTTCCAACAATACAAATTGTAAGGGGTATTTACCATCAGGGGACAAATACTAGCTGTTTTCTTTATTTCTTTTTTTTTTTTTTTTTAATTTTTACACCTTTATTCCTTGTGCACACTCTAGCAAACCTTTGAGTACTGAATTGATCTTAAAGGTAAAGGTCCGGTTTGTGCACCACTGTCCCAGAGGTTGTAGGGTGTTTAAGGGTGAGATGGAGTACGCTGTTGGCAATGTGACAGACTGTGAGTCGATACGTTACATGGTGATGGTGTAATGGTAATCCCCAAACCAGTGGCAGTTTCTCATGAGAGGTGTTGTGTTTAAGTATAGATAATTCCCTCTCAACAAAGGACCTGGTAGATATGGGGAGAATTAAAAGATGGACAGTAAAAAGATTGGAAATCTTATATGATTAAAAGGAGAACTGTTTATTGTGGTGAAGACTCAAAAGGAAACCTGATCTGTATGTATAAAGTCACTCTGAGGGGGAGAGAAAGGTGACAGGTCGAACTTCTCTTTCCATTGCCTCCTGAGAGATTTTTTTTCTAATTCAATAGAAGTATAATTGGGCTTCATATAAATTGTCTTCCTTTGCATTGGAAGATATTGCCGCAAGAGGTGGCTGGGATAAGGCAAAATTTTACGTGCATAGTAGATCCAGATTCCTATTTTTTAAGGTTGAAAACTAATAAAACTTAGAAGTTTTAGAAATAATAAACTGTCTAAAATGGAAGTTTAAAAAGGGAGAGGTCTGTTACCCTTGTCAGGAAGTTTCTCTACAGTTTTCTTCTGCAGGGTTCCTTTTAACTTTCCTCTGTCTTAGCTGGTGGAGGCCATAATCAGAACAAGCACTTGGCTGATGTGGTACCTGGGTATGTTGGCTTGTTTTGCTTTGAGAGTAATGGTGGATGAGAGAAGTTTATTCTTCAGACCTGATACATAATGAGAAAAATGTGAGATAGTCATGCCTTGACAGTGGGTATGTACTTCTACAGCAGACTTAAAAATTATCTTTTTCTCTTGTAGAACTTGAAACAAATGCTGCAGTAGTTGCTGGTCAAAGGTAAGGAGATAGTTTGTGTAGATTCAGAACAGATACAGCTTTGATGGGAGGAAATCCTTTTCTCTTTGCTTCAATTGCACAACTTCTGCTACTGCTTTTCATTTTCTTGTCCATTCCCTTTCTGTCCTGCTAAGAAATTGGGCTAGTTGAATGTTTTAAAACATTGTGGAAATGTAGAATGTAAGGTAACTTTTTCCTGAGTCTGTCTTTGTGCTTTAAGCAGTGTTTCCTCTTATTCCTTCAGGCCTGAGTGTTTCACATCCTGGAAGGGTCTTGATGGTTCCACTGTTCAGTATTTTCTGAAAGCAAATCAAATCTAAAACCCCCAAAGCCTGCAGCTTAGCTGTCATGTGAATTTTTGTTTTCTGAAAGTAGGTCTTTCTAAAGTTTGTTCTGCCTTTGTGACTGTTGTCTCCAGATTTCCTTTGTGTTTGCTTGTTGACACTTTGCTGAAACCTGAGAGAAAAGCCAGGTAGAAGCTTCATCTTGTCCCGATTAAGACATTCAGCAATTAAAAGATGAAATTTCTAATAGTTGTGTTCTGTCAGAAGAAAATATGCTTTCTGAGCTCTATTTCTGTTAGATTCTAAAGCCACCAGGCTCTTAAACTCAGTCTGGGCAGCTGTAATGAGACAGACCTTCGTAAGGTTTTTGGATAACTGGGCTGGCACAAGTGGCCAGGTTTCTGATGCTGCCCTCGTCAGTGGAGTGCCAAGGCAAGAGGTGCAGTTTGCCCAGTTGGTTCATCAGGAAACAGGGCCGTGTCTCCTTCTGTAAGGGAGGTGACGCAATACACTTCCTCAGATCAGGAATAAGCCTGAGTTGAATATTTATTTACCTTCACGTGGATTGGGATCTTTCTAGTTGTATCAAAGATAAACTGAAATTTCACAACAAGTTTTTTCTAGGGTAGAATTTTTCTGAAAAGCTGAAGGTGTGACAGTTGGCAGATGAACGCGTTCTCCAGATGAAGTGTCCTTGCGCGACCATTCTCCAAACTCATTCAGCACATCAAATTACCGCAAGCGCATTTCTGTTTGGATTTTTCTGGACTAATGCTTTTCTGAGCAAGACCAGAAAAGAAGGGAAGTTTTCAGACAAACTGTGAATCTAGTGATGGCTGATACTCACAGCAGTCAGCTTTGAGCTCCTGGGCTTAAACACCACACAGTACAAGGCGTACAAGGAACCTTGCAACCTACAAAGCCCTAGAAATATTTTTACATGGGCCAACTTAATTTCCTTCTATAAAAGGAGAGAAGTGATGCATTGGTTCTTGTGAGATGATCCAAACTATGGATTAGTTACTTGAATCTATAAAAATTATGTGTAATAACTGAACTTCAGCTGATGCTGCCTGTTTGCTTACCTCCAGGGGTTCTCTAGAGTAGGTGGCTGTTGTTTCAGCTGCCCAGGTGGCTCAGCAGAAGACCAGCTTGTGACCTGTTTGGGGGATTCAGTTTATAGATTGCCCATAATACCTACTTATGGGGAAACAGATTTCAGTATTTATTTGGTATCTGAGACAATCCATGTGCTTCCATATTCTCCTCTGCTGCCTGTTTCCTTGTGAGAATGTTTGTCTCCTTTCATTGACAAAGAGTGTTTTATTGCAGATACCTGTCAGTCAAAACTACAAGGATTTCTTGTAGTTTTTCCTCTCAAAGCAGGACTTTCTCTGAAACACTGACACTGTAGTGGAACCTCTGTAACACCCAGGTCTGCTCTGTGTGTTTTCAGTCAGTTCTCTGATTAAGGCAGCCTTTCTTGAAATCTTGCAAGTATCATTCAAAGGGCATTAAATTCTCCTTTTCTATTATCAGCAGAATTATTTCTTTTATTAATTACTTACCTTTGAATTCACAGGAGATGAGTTTAGCTTTATCTTCAGAAACCACTTACTCATCGGAAATTGCCTGGCATTAATGCATTAAGGGGAAAACACTCAAACCTCAGGATGAGTTTACAGGGTTAAGAGTGATAAAATAAAAGAGGAGTTTAATTACAAAACATAGCACTCCATTTATTGCCTCAGTGACAAGCAACACAGATTTCCACACTACCTAAAATTATTTTTTAATAGCAGAAAAAGCTTTCTGTTGTAAAATATAATATTTTAACTTCAAGCTTTAAAGCTTGAAGAAAGTTTTAAATAAACCTTAAGCTTTTTAATATGTGAAGAAATCACCTGGCTCAATGGAGTGAGTCTTTTTAGTAAAAACAAAAGCTGGCATACTCACTGAAGAGTTCATAATTCCTCCTTATGTTCATCTGCAATTTCAACTCTGCATTCCCATATCGTAGCAGTCTCTAATGTAACTTGTTTGCTTTTCCTAGACTTCAGTAATGGTGGCACCTGTGGAAAACAGAGCAGACAATTTATAATGCATCTAATTTCTTGGTCTTCTAATGTTGAAAATATTCTCTTTGAGGACTCTCAATTCTGTATCCTCTGATAATTTTTAATAGAAATGGACTATACTCTGGCTTACTCAGGTCATTCTTCATCTGATAAAACTTCTGGTATCTCTAGCATTTCATATCTTCAGTGCTAATAGTCCGGAACTGGTACCTGTGTTGGTCCATCCTCCAGCTTGTCTGAGTTGCATAGAAAAACATAATTCTTCTTACACTTCATCAGAAATATTTTGTCCCACTTTATTAGTAATGAGACAAAAGAGAATTGTGAAAAGTCTAAAACTCCAAATAGAAGAAATTCAAGAACAGAGGATTCTGCCGCTTCACAGGAAACTGTAGAGAATGGACAGCGCAAGAGGTCCTGCAGACCAGCATCTGCATCCAGCACTGCAAAAGGTAAAATGCACAGCCATCATTTCTCTGGAGAGGGCAGGAAGTAACCTACTTCCCCAAATAATAACCCTTTCATAACTGGCTCATAACAATGGTTTGCAGCTTGTCAATGCGTGCTTTTAACTCCAGTTTCAATGACTTAGACACAGGTTGGTGTTGAAGTATTTCCTGGTGTCTGTGCTGGCAGTAAATCTTGTACGAATTTCCCATTGTTAAATTTGTGGAACTTTTCTGCAGTACTCATCAACATAGCGTTCAGCAAACTTGCCTAGTTGAAGCTGAATTCTCTTAGCAGAAATATGCTGCCATTAAAAGGACTTTACTCAATTTAAAAAGTGACTACTTTTTTTTTTTTTTTTTCCCCTGAAGCCTGAAAAGACACAAGACAAATGCTTAAGTCTTCCCAAGTGCACGGTCAGCTCTTGTGAAGCCAAATGCTTCTGAGTTCAGGCGCGCTCAGAACGCTGCCTGGATGGCAGGCTGGAGCACCGAGGAGTGCTGTGTGCTAGCGCACCGAGCCTCAGCTGCTCTCCCCAAGAACACGTGAGATCCTAGTTACAGATCTCGACCCGTGGCATTAGCAGTTGCTGACGTGCCTTATTTCTGCACAGTTACAATCTTTAACCAAGTCCGCGGCGTTTGTGTGATACACACGGTCATGGCCGGGGTGCAGCTCTGCATTTCTGAGCTAACTGTGTCAGCTCCTTATGTTTAAGGGTCAGAAAAATTCTGATGGCCGAAAGTTGCACGAGAGGGTAGAGAGAGACCATCAAGAGGCAACATTCGACCAGTGTTTTAAAGATAACATATAGAACAAAGAGGTATTAATAGAAAATTATTATAAAAGGAAGTCAAGTTGAATTCAGCAACCATTTTCCATACTGAAGGTGCTAAAGTTTGGTGGTAAGAATATTTTTATTTTAAGAGCTTCAGAGAAGACTTCCAAATATTCAGAATTGTGCAGTGACTCTCAAAGATTACACAGAGGGACCTGTATGTTCTGCACTTTTGTGGCTGCTGAATTTAATTAAATTTACTTATTGTGGCAGGATTGTGCAGAAGAATCTTAAGTCTGTATTGTAAAAATAAGTTATTTTTCATGATTGTGAAGAAAAATTTGAAAAATGTGAAGCCAATGTAAAATTTATTTGGTGATACCTTCCTGAGTGTGAGGGGATCTGAAAGGTATGAGCTGTCCCACATACTGTAATGAATAAACCTAAAGATGACAACCAGTGGCACGTCAAATTCTCAAATGTGGGAACATGAAAGTGTGCGACAATTAAATAATATCAGAACTCACTTAGGGGCTTTGTGCTGACTGTATTATTCGTTTACCTCTGTAAGTAAAGTCATTGTTTTCAAAACACGTGTCTGAAACTGCCACAGTATCCGAGGGTTTTGCTTGAAAGTGTAGGTCCAGCTTTCCACCTAGTACCCTGGGCTTTGAGTACCTTATCTCTGTGCAAGCAACTGCCTGGTGCCAACTTGTAGAGAAAATGAGCAAAACAAGACTCTCTGTGGAAGAGGACAGGCTGGAGGATTAGTGAGGTAGCTGAGGAAGCGTAACGAGGTTTGCCACTTGTGCCTACTCTATTCTACGTTTTTATTAGTGTGTCATAGCTTAAGAAAGCACATTTGTTTTGTGTGCTCCTGGCTCCTCCTGGACATCTACGGTTACTTCATCCGTGTCCTGAGAAACTCACGGATCCCTATTAAAGAGAATGTGGGGCTGGGAGAAGTTACCCTTTGAGGGTGAGGCTGATTAAGGTCATTATAAAAATGGCACTTAGGAAAAACTGAAATATAGGAGGGAGAGAGAAGTAGACTTGGACCACTTCATGTAGGAATCTTCTTGCTAAGCATCAGGAAGGAGGAGGCAGAAGAATAACTGTAAGAGAAGAGGATGCACTGGAAGTCAGCACACGTCCCTCTGTACATGGCACGCTTGGTGTGCAGTTTGGGGTAGAAGCAGGTGATGGAGATGCTGGTGATACTCACAAGGGACGGGGACAGGAACTGGCGGCTGATGCCCACTGCCCCGTTCATCCTCCCAGGCGCGTAGACTCGGGCAGCAGCAGGGATGGCTACAGCTGCTGCTGCTGCTGCTGACTGAGCTCGTTAGAAGCAGCGTTGCTGCTTGGAGGGAGCGCTGGTGACTGGGAGTTGTGCCTGTTAAGATGTTTCACTTCTGAAAACTGGTACTGTATTGGTGCTTTCGCTTTTTGGAGTACCTTTCCAGCAAGGGCTGTTTCAGCGTTTACTGTAGCTTCAAGTTTGTTAAATTTTGAAATGTAGATTTTCTTAATGCAACATTCAACAGCCATGGAGTTGTACCGTTGCTTTTCTAGTTTTAGATTTCTTGGAATTTCTTTCCCTTTTGACTCTTAAAATACACACAGCTCTGATAGCTTTTGGAAAATATTGTAAAGAGCCAAAGATACATTGCCAACATTTAAAATCACTTTTTAAAAAAATCTAAAGACACAAATACCCTTGGTCCTTACTCTTTTTTTGTTGTTGTTTGTTTTGAAATGGAAACTTAGTGCCTTGGTAAGTGCACTGAAAATGTCATTTGCTTTCACTGTAGCGTCTGCAAGTGCTTCTGGTTGTTCTGCTGCAGTGCTACAGAATATTTTATCTCTTTCTGCATAAGCTGTTTTTCTGTGAATCGTAATGTACATTGAAGAGACTTGTTTTCTAATGATCTGACTTTCCAGAGACTCAAACAACTAGATTCTTAAGTTGTGTGGCAGGCTCCAAAATATCTTCATAAGTTGTTTTTTTGTTTTGTTGGTTTTCTTTTTAATGACACCATCTCCATGATGCTGGGGTCTGATTGCCAGTTTGTGCCCCACGCTGTACTGCTGTTTCATGGAGACTTCCTTCTGCAGTACAGCTGAACACGCTGTGGCATGTGGGGAACTAAAGTTAAAGAACAGTTAAAAATATACAACTCTTATTTTTAAGGCCGTTCTATTAGGACTTTATAAACGTAAAACTCACAGCGCTTGGAAATCGTGTCCTGCCAGAACCTGGGGGACCGTTGTGTCGCTGCTGACAGCTCTCGTCAGGGTAGAGGGTCCATTTGTGTTACGTCTTGTGAAGAGTCAGTCCCAGTTCTGTGGGAATCCTGGTCTTCAGAGGTTTCCACTCTGGTGTGATTTTGGAAAAGTAAAAGGGCAATCTGTGCACCTCTGGTGAATGGCTTACCGACTTCGTATCCATGCTTTTTTTCTTCTCTTAATTTCAGAAACGAGTGCCAGTGCAATGCAGTCAAAAAGAAGAAAGTCCAAGTAAATTACTGCATGGAAACATGAAACTTGTAAATGAGTGTGAATTTATCAATAGCAATTTTGAGCTGTGATTTTTCTTTTTTAAATAAAATTCTGTACAGTAAGTCATTTTAATATTATACTGTTCCCAGTAAATGATTTTTTTCTAAAAAACAGATAAATAGATATAAAAACTGGGTTCTTCTAAAACCCCCTGGATTTACAAAATGAAGTCCAGGGTTAGCACATTAGGTTAATGTGTTTGTATGAAATGGAAGGGGAGGGGAAGACAATTGTAAATTTATTTGTTTCCACTTTTCATAAACAAATTAGAATACAGGGTTGTCATTTTTAGGTATTAAAATAATGTATTGTGCTGTTGTTTTAAGTACTGTATGTGAATAGCAGTAAGAGGGTTTATAAACAAATCCCATCTTGTTTGGAAATGTAAATAATTTTATTATATAGTAGATCTGATGTATTTGTTGTAGAAATGGACCAGTGAAACAAAAAAATAAATTTAAGGGTTTGTATAATGTGGAATCCCTCATGCTCTAAATAAATGTTATTGTCCTATAATTTGGTTTGTATTATTATTAGCAGCAACAACAGCATCATTCCAAACCGGAATATCGAAGGGGATTATTTAGAGCTCTAGGCCTGCAAGCTCCTTATATGGAGCTTTAGAAAGGAATTTGTTTAACCACAAACGAATTAACTGATGCAGCTGTTCTTGCAAAGCAAGGAAAAAAAAAATGCAAAGGCCACCCTCCAGCCCCCGGGATCTGTGCAATGAATACACAGTGAGGAGACCCAGAGGAGAGCTCTCCCCACAAATAAAGCTTCCCAGCAGGAAAACCCGGCAGAGGAAAATGCCGTATTGAATGGTTTGAAGACTTTCTGAAATGCAGTAGCTGAATATCTTATCTGGATAACTCAGTGATGGTTTGTGTGTGCTGCCGAGGAAAGTAGGTCAGGCTCGTTGTTCCGGAGAGCTCTCGCGGTGAGAAGCTGAGGAGCCGGTCTGTTCAGAGTCCTTGTTGCTTTGTGCACAAACGGATACTTTCACCTTTTGTTACATAATTTAAAAAATATATTTACATATATCAGAAGGCTGATTAAATATAAATTGTCATTAAATAGAAATTGTCACCTCTTCTAATGACAGAAATTACCTATTTGTGCACAAGGTAGTAGACACTGAGGAGGCCAACTGCTGTGGTTTAACGCAGCTGGCAGCCAAACACCACACAGCTGCTTGCTCACTCTGCCCTGAGGGTGGGGAGAGAATTGGAGGGGTAAAGGTAAGGAGACTCGTAGGTTAAGATAAAAACAATTTAATAATAGAAATAAAAGAAAACTTAAAATAATACTAATATTAATATAGTAGTGATAATGATAACAGTAACAAAATATACAAATGAGTGATACCCAGTGCAACTGCTCACCACCCACCAACCAAACCCAGCCCATTCCCAGATAACGATCGCGGAGGAGCAACAATCCCGAACCGAAATCAATCCTGGAAGAGCCAGAGCCCGAGTGAAAGCCAGAGAGCAAGAGAGGAAGAGACCCTCACTGATATACTGGAGGAGACATGATATGATACGGAATATCCCACTGGCATATCCAAATGCCAATTTAGCTTATTAATTTAAATATTCCTCGCTCCCTCAGATCTTGCACTTGTAGACTAATAAAACACGAAGTCCTTCACTTCCAGTGACAAAAATGAAAAAATTGGTATGTTATCAGTGTTTCTGCGCTAGCGGCTAAGAGGAAAATTAGCTCTATCCCAGCCAAAACCAGGACACTAACATCTCCAGTCCTTACTGCCAGAGTTGGAATGCTCCTTGTCTTTTGCATGGGTGTCTCCACTGAGCTCAGATCCAGGAGCTGAACAACAGCCAGCCCTTCTACCACCCAGTGACACCTCCCCACCCGAGAAGGGGAATTGGGAGAAGGAAAGGAGACCCATGGGTTCAAATGAGAACAGATTTAATGAAATAATAATA